TCAACAACAGCCACGACATCTAGCAGGTTCCTGCAAGCTTTAACAATAGGAAGATCTGAAGCATTGTCATTTCTGTTTCGAATAATGGACATACTGTCAGATTGTAATTTTTCTATTTACTACCACACTGTAATTTCAAAAATTACAACATGACAATACCATTCTATTCCAGAAATGTTTAATAGCCAAAACATTTGTCACTAAAACTTTACAGGGTTACATGCTTAAAGAACTTGTTTTATTTTACAACTTGGAGCAAAAAACTCATCTTTATGAGCAGTAACTCGTGTGTCACTGGGAAAGTCTACTTTCTTTCCATTCCTAGCGAAAATCTGAAGTCACATGGTGTCACGTGTTGCCATACTTTGGTAACGTGTGTTTTACTAGCAGGAATTTGATATTTTGACCATTGTCTTGTATCTAACAGTCTAAATATATATACATGTAATAATTGTTAAACATCTCATTTACTCTCCGATTTTAGGACATTTGACCTTTCATATAAGAGGTCAAGACGTGCGATCATTCTCAACCTAGACACAATGACATTAATATTTACGGTTACAAGTGTCGAGGACGTGAACACAATATGTATTCGGCAATTACATGAATTTCCTCAATGTTTACAACCTATATCTAGAACTCCAAGATTTTATTTGTATGGGAACTTTTCTTCGACTGTAAATAAAAACCTTCGTGGGTTTTTTTTTTTGTTTGTTTGTTTGTTTTATACTTATATTATTCAACTTTCTTGTTAAGAATCCGTTATGGCGAATACTAGTATATACTATATTTGTGCAATATGCGAACACTAGTGTGACACCGCCGATGGATACCGGTACTTAATTTTACTTTGTTTTGTGATGTCTTGTATCGTTTTGTTTGATATTAATTTTATATGCCCCCGAAATCAAAGTTTCGGGTGTGTATATTGTGTTTGCCCTCTCCGTCTGTCTGATTGTCTGCAAAATCCTTGTCCATATTCTTTGTTGGTTGGAGGTATGACTTTAATATTTTATTGGTTGAAGGCGTGGCTTTAATACTTCCAGTACATGTATTTCAAACGTGCATTTCTTCTGAAAAGACCTTTCTTTGGGTATGAATACTGTATATTTGAGCTCTTGGCCTTGACTTTCGAGTTTAACCCACTTTGGTTTTTTGGTGTTTCTTATAATTATTATTAATTCGTGATATTTGTGATAAAAGTTAGTTATTCATACTTTCTTTACATACATGTATTTCATTCCACTGAAAACGGTGGGTAGAAAATGGTTTTGACCATAAAAAATGTATATGAAATGTGTATTTCTTGTGACAATACCTTTCTTTGGGTATGAATGTATTTGACATTTTGACCTTGATCTTTGTGTTTAACCCACTTTGGTTCTTTTGTTTCTTTATACTCAGTAATTACATGTATTTGTTTGTAATATTTGTGACAAAAGTCAGTTATTCATACTTTCTTTATATTTTTTATTCCATTGAAAACTATAGGCCCCCTACCTAGTCCCAAAATCGACTGAGCCTTCAAGAAATCCTGCATCCTCGACTGTAACTTATTGGAAGCTAATGTACTAGAAACAGTTTGACATAACCAACAAATTTTAACTTTATGCTTTTTATACCCTATGGGGGAGTCCCCTGGCTTTTTGCGCGTGCGTGTGTTTAAACATATAACGCTCATAACAGTTCATTTCATGCACGAACCTATTCTACAATAAAATCATAAAGCAGGTTTGTAAGCAACTAATGCAAAGCAATTCCAAATATTCAGGAAGTCTGAATTATAAGGCTAGAAATACTTTTTGAATTGCAATATTACTCTTTTGTAATTTCTACGTGATTTTTTTTATATGAGGCAAGTTATGCACACATTTCTTTCCCGCAATATGCATGCAAAATGGAAGAGAATTTAATTACATGTGTTTTCAATGAACTGCATTGTATAATTGACGAGATGATATTTTTTTCTTTCATCAAAAGTAATAAAAGTAGGGCCAAATTAATTCTAAGGCCCCGTAAAATTACGTCATTTTGACGTTACCGACACCAACACCGTGCGCGACGTCAAAGCAGGTTTTGTAAGCAACTACTGCAAAGCCATTCCAAAAAGTCAGAAAGTCTGAATTATAAGTCAAGAAACACTATTTGAATTGCACGTACTGATTGTTCCATTAGAGGTACAATAGTCGAAAGCGTTTAAACAATCTTTCAAAGACAAAAGCCAATCATAAGCCAGGACTATAACTAAATCTATACAATGCATATCGCTAAATTTTACCTTAAAAAGTTTTCTTATCTACATTTACATACCTGGTAAAATCCCTGTTTATTCAAAAACAGTAAAACATATCAAGACAATACATATGGTGCAGTTGCATAAAATGTTGGAAAATTTATCAAAATCATTTTCTATCCATACGACTTTTTATATTTGTTGGTATTCAGTTTAGAGTAAACGAATTTAACTTTGATAGTATGACAAAAGTACTGGATGAAAACCTACTTATAGATACTATTGTTTTAAAGAAAACTATTTCTGTGATGATAAATAACACAAAATAACACTAAAGTATTAATTTCTAAAATCTTTTATATTTAGTTTTCTACGTGAAACTACATTTTTACCTTGGTTTGTTTTCGCTTTAACTACTTTTCTTGCTTGGAATTGGTTTCTAGCTGGTGCCGGGGATTCGGGAAGCCGAACTTTTGCTTGGAATTGTTTTCTTACTGGTGCCGGAGATTCGGGAAGCCGAACTTTTGCTTGGAATTGATTTCTTGTCGGTGCCGAAGATTCGGGAAGTCGTACTCTGATACCTCCAGGATTTGGGATAGATTGACAAAATCCAAATAAACCAAAAATTAATAAAACAAAATTCATTTTTTTGATCGAATATTCTTTTTCTTTTTTCGAATTACTACCACACGTCCATGTGCCCCAAACCCAAATGTTTCCCCTTTGAACCACCGCGGTGGAATATCGCTAGGTCTTGCACGGAGAGTGGATTATTTGTCCTGGCTGTCATGAATAACAACCGAAAGCAATTAATGTTTTACAGGTTTAAGGAATTAATTAACATTTGCTATTATTAGTGGTCAAAAATAATGGATAGTGTTAGTACGTTAAGCATTGTTTTCAGGAATGACCAATATTATGCTGTTGTCCTTTGCATGTAAAACATAGTTTTTGAGTAGCTCGCTGCGAAATGTCATTGGTAATGTCTAATAGTGTAACGGCGTAGAGTGGTATGACAAATGAGATAAACACAACACCACATGATGTGCGTAGAAAATTCTAAGTAATTTTAAAGCGTACAAGACATGAAAAGTTTGAAATAATTTTATTTTTTACATGAATTTGGTCAAATCTCTGGACTAAGTGTCAAAGTTAAATACATGAGAATCCCGAAATGTTTTAAGAATATATTAAGTAAATGGTCCTTCAGCCAAGAATTTCCTTTGGTGTAGGTAGGCTGACAGACCTGGTCACTTTCTGATGTGAACGTTTCGTGTCCGTTTTTTTCAATATCGAAACTAAGTCCGCCTTTACTTTCTGTCTCGGTTTTTTCTCGAATGGTGGAATTTGACATTTTAGTTTCGAACCACCGGTGACGGTAAAATACTTGTACATCTGTAGCTGTTCTTCTTCGGTGAGAATATTTGTCGGTACGACAACATTGGAGTAGCTCTTCAAAGAAATTTGTGTCATTCGTATGTCATACAGTAAATCCCCTAGAACCTGTCTTTTATTTTCACCGTCGGCTGGTAACTTTTGTCGACGACATTCTTCTTCCGCCCACTTTGCAGCTGCGCTGAACATTTCAATTTCCAGAACGGACGTGGCGTCAGATTTCAAAATGGATTCCAAGCCCTGACGGGATATTGATTTGAAACCTTCTGATTTGAAAACAACTTTTGCATTCCTTTGAATAAATCGAAGAGTTATGTCTTTAATTTCTTTCATGTCAAATCTGAAAGCAACAACAAGAGTTGCACAGGCATTTTTACTGCATAACGATGATTCCAAGTGGCTAACACATCTCTCAATGAGATCGTCTAATTTATACTTTTCAGCAAGTTCTATCAAAGGCAAAGTACTGCTTTCATTTAGATTGGTTTCGTTAGTATATATGTATCTACAGAAAAAAAATCAAGCCATAAATATGTCGGAAAATAAAGAAACGGCTTAAAATATAGAGGAAATCATATTTTTCGCTGAGACACCTAAGAAGAAAAAGAGGTACCCAAAAACTATGTGCAGTTCCTTACCTTAACAGCATTTCGAATATTTCTCTTGAAGTTCCCTCTATTAGAATCTTTGGTTCCGGTATTTCGGTGTAGAATATTCTTTCAAATTCTTCGCTCCTCATCGACAAGATGAACTTGTGTCCTGGCAGAGGTTTCCCGCCATCAGTGAAAGTGAAGTGAGCGTCTGCTAGCGTTTCATTCAGACAGAGATACTTCAGACATTGAAGCGGAGACTTCCCCATCCGCTATTGAGGTCCAAAGATGCTAGCCATCTATGTTTTTCTTTTTAGCTTTTGACACTGTTGGTTTTAATTAATTATATTCATTATCCCTCTAACATGTATAATCCAAAGAGATGTAACAGTCAAATCATAGGTGATTCAAACCTGGAACTTATAATAAAATATTCCATTTTGCCTCTTTACAGAAGTGTAAAGATAATTATTTTCCAAAGAATTTCACATACATTGAATTGGGAATTATTAAAATATCTTTCTACAAGAGAAACTTTTTCTGACTTTTCTGAACGCTTGATTACGGGATGACCTTTTCTTTGTTAAAACACTTTGTAGAACAATGGATTTCTGATTAACAACTAGGATAGGATTGCAATTTTAAAAACTTTAAATGAAAGAAAGTGCAATAAGCATAGATGTAAAGCGATATCCATGCTATCGAAAGTTTAGACAGCTGTTTTGAGATTGTGTGCATGCAGATATTAAGTAATCTAAAGAAAACCACAACCAAACGCATTTTTGAGAAAACTAACAATTTTATTAATTCAATAACAGTTTTCGAGTATACTTTAGAGCATTCATCATTCGATGCGTCTTTTTGGCGAATATTACTTGTAATCATAATCTGAGTTATTGATAACAATATAATCCAGTGCCCCGTTTTCAATTTGCTTTCTTGTGGATAACTCTGTTGTTTACATTTAACTTCCGTTTTGATAACTCAGACTATATATACATAATCACTACGTGTTTTGTCACATGTAACTACTGTAATCACAACAGAAACAATCCTACTTTTTTGATTGTTTTCACCTTCTAAGGTAAATCTGAGTCACATGTACACTTGTTAGAAGTCAATTACTCTTTTTGTCCTGAGGATATCGGTGTTTATATGTTTATTTCATCTATATTTAGATAGTCATTCGAAAGGAATGACCTCCCTATATCGGACCAGCTGACCATTGGGTGCTTTCGTTCCCTCTGGAAGAGTGGCCAACCAGACGACATCTTTTGCCGCTTCCTCCACGGATCTAGGTTTTATACCTTGGCAGGTGCCATCTTCGCCAACGTAGACCTCGCTGCCCTGTGATGTCATCCATCCAGGACAACACGCGTTTATAAGGATGTTCCGTCGTACGTCTCCTGCAAGTTCTCTCGTTAGAACACGAGCTAATGCCGAGAGAAATATCTTCGCAAGCACACATGGCGAATCTGGCCATCCATAACTCTTGTGGTTGCCATATTTGACGGCCTTCATATATTCATCTGCGAGTGTAATAAGCTTGTACATATTGCATTTTTCAAGGTCAAGTTCTTGTTGCAGTTTCTCACCCAGTTCCTTTCTTTTGCCTATGTACCCATTTGTGATAAGAACAACACGACCATGAGGATGCATGTGTGGAAGTAATATTCTGCAAACATTAAGGGTTCCTTTGAAATCTGTTTCTATGGACAATTGTGCTTGGCGAAATAAAGGAACTAGTTCATTTTTCTTGTAAGTTACAGCGGCATTGTTGATAAGCACATCAATTCCACCATATTCTGACTTGATGAAGTCTTCAAACATTCGAATGCTGGCCGCCTGAGTGATATCGAGTTCGTGATACCTCGGCCGTAATCCTTCCACTTTCAGTTTGTTTAAGGCAGCATTGCCTTTATCAGACATTCGGGAAGTGAGAATGACGTCACCATCAAACGTCTTACATAGCTGCCTTACGAGTTCCAATCCAAGTCCTCTGTTTGCTCCCGTAACCACTGCCACCTTCCTCCCCATTCTACGAGAAATTTAAAAAATATATTTACTAATTTGTTAAAATTTTCCGTGTTTGATCAATAGTATATCGATTGCAAGGTTTAAGATAAAAGATATTGCCTGGCAAAAAATGTTCAAAAGAAACATTGGATTATTCAGATCTGTTTTCACAGATAATACTGATCAAAGGCATATGCAAATTTCAAAATTTAAAATTCAGACTTAAACGCCTTTTTTAACTTCCTCTGATTTCAAATTAGAAAATAAATCTGAAAGTAATTACAGCTTTTCCAAAGAAAACTGAAGTAAAATACAAAGCTGGAATTTTAAGAATGGATACTGGACTAGTCTAGGAGAAAATTAAGTTCTTCGTTCATTATTAATTTGTACAACCCAAAAAAATCAATATAATATATGGCTTGACAAAGGTTACTGAATGTGGGAGAAAGAGTATGGCTTGGTTTGTGAGATGACCATAAACAAAGACTATCTATCATGATACATGGTTGCCAATGTAAACTAGTCCGAGATTTCTCTGTTGCAGTTTCCTTGTTTATCGTTCAGGGCATTCAACCAAAAATATATTCTTTTTGTTTCATAGCCGAAGAAAAATATCATTCTAACACTCTTATGGAATTAACCTGCTACAAATTCATATGTAAATCAATTAACTTACCTGTTTATTTGTCACAAATGGTAGCTCGTGAATGGCTTCAGGTCTCGACTTGATATAAGTATCAGGGATTTAAAGCCCCGTTTCGATTTTTTGCAGCAATAACCTCATTATAATCTTGCTGGTTCAGAATGTAAACAAACCGACAGGTAATGTGAAGTGCAGTTCAACCTGATTATTGATTTCCCGTTTAATTCGAAAAACAAGTAAAATGTAATTTATGTACCTGCATCGCTTTCAAATGTGGTAAACGCCAAAGAGAAAACTAAAGAGCAACAACACTTTCGGCTGACATAACGGACCTACTTCACATGTTGAAAAATGCTGATTTTCATTAAACAGTTGCTTTCATATCTTGATACCAATTACAACTAAGGCGTGTTGAACAGAGCGAGCCGAGCGCTCGCGAACATTTCTGTTGGGGGTATAAGGAATCTTTGCGAACGCTCGCGAACGTTCGCTCTTTTGAACCGGCCTCTGGTTTGCAAAGTCTGTGGAAAGGAATTGGCTTCAGGAGTGTTCTTTTTGTTTATCTCAAGTTATTTTCTCTTTCAGGGGGCTGCTAAGAAGAGTTTTTTTTAAAAAGAAACTTGAACCTAATTATGTTTTCAACTTAGATACATCGACTCGATTAACAGAGTAGCCAATTTGATTATAGCATAGTTTACGGTAGAAAAGTGAATCCAGTTTGACAAATGTAACTGTTCTCTGAAAATTCAACTCTTGCAGAAAAAAATAAAGAAAGTCAACAAGAACAGATGAAGAGCATTTCATTGTTAGCAACTTTTGACCACAAATACTAGGACATGTATGTAGACATGTAATGATGAAATTGGCATACAGTCAAATAATTAACAAATGAAATGAACAACTAAACAAACGCACTCAAAAGATTGCTTTTCATTGTATTTAATAACATTAACAGATTAATTAACATGTTTATTAATAAATAGTTATTGACTAAACAACTTGTTTTTGTTTCTGTTCGCATTTCTTACAGACAAATTTCTGTGACCTTGACATTGTAATCTTCCTGAATAAGTTCTTGTAAATGTCCTTGCAGTGATTTCTGAAATCAAGGTCAAAGAATCCATAAAAGAAAGCGTTCATGACATTGTTGATGAGATAAAGTCTTATGGCCATTAGGTAGAAAACTCGGCCAACCTCTGATAAGTTGTCCTTGAACTCTGGCTTAACAGCGTAAATTATCAAAACAATGATATAAGGATAATAGGTTACAATAAAGGTCAAGGTTATAAAAAATAACAATTTAGTGATTCGGCGCTCGCGAATACTTTCGACCGTTTTTGATTTTTTCCTTTTTCGTAAGAACGTCTTCAGTGGTTTCCGGGACTTTTTGGTCTTCATTTCCTCATTTGATTCATTTGGTTCATTGTCTTGGGTTTTACTTTTATCATCGAACAAATCTTTATTTGAACCTATAAGTATCTGTGTTGTGTTGTTGGCACAATCTGTCACGATGATGTCCGGGATGACACAGGTCCTTTCGGAAGTACCTCTTCTGTTCAATACGAAGCCCTTGAGAGTTTCCGGTACACTGGCCACTTTACTAAAAACGTACCTGATTGATGACATCTTTCTTGAAGATTCATCGCCCTCACATAGCTTACAAGTACTCGAAAATCCAGTACTTTCTGTATTGCTTTTGTCGTTACCACTTTCTTTGTTTGTAAACACATCGTCTTCTTCTTCAATGGTACCTGAACTTTCTTTTTCTTTTGGGTCCTTGATTTGTATTTCGATCTCGAGAGATTCAAGGGAATCGCTTGACATCGGAGCAGGGGAGTCAACCCCGGAATCCCGGTCCGTTTGCGTGGATTCTATGGATTCCCGCACTGCGGATTCCTCGTCCTTATTGGAACCTATTGATGATTCCCTGCCCTTTTTAGATTTAACAGATTTTTTTACATGAAATCTAACAATCCTGGTTGATTTCATTCGCTTATTGTGTGCTCGCAAGGCTTTGCCAACAAACGAGTAAAGAATTGTCAAGCATACCATGCAAGAAATTACAATCAACAGTTCCAAAGCATAGTAAATATAGCCATAGTAAGAATTTGAAACTGCGTCCGACCATGAACACTCGGTTCCATTTAAGTTAATTGTTGTCTCAATGACCACTGTATGGCTACCGTATATCAACAAGGCCGGAGAGGTAGCAATGGAAGATCCAATGATTACAGCAATGATAGAACGGATGGCTCTTTTTTCCGTGACTTGTAAACCGTTTGGTCGACAAATTTTTCGGAACCTCTCTGCAGCAATAACCACAAGCATCAGAGCAGCTGCAATGGCTAAATTCGTGTCGAAGAATCTGAAGATTTTGCAGGCGATCGGGGCATTGAAGGTGTAGGGATTGGTCTCGTCAATGATCTGGAACGGGATAGAAACCATGCAACCAAGCATGTCGATGCATCCCAGAGCCAGAACGAACACTCGATATGTGGATCTCTTGATTTTGGTTCCAAACACGAAAAGCACGTGCGTGTTGGCTATGATTCCAATGGCGGACAATACGGATAGAACCAACAGTAGAGGCAGACGATTGAGGACTTCTTCGGAGTTGAGTTGCGCCAGCATCTCGGGGGCATGTGCACTGTGGTTAAGCATTTTAAAAATGTCCCTATGAAGGTCTCTGAACGCCATGGTTGTCGTCTTTATATAGGAAACACAGTTACTGGCTATTTTGAAGCTTACATGTATCTATCATGTCTATTGTGATTCAATATCCGATTGGTATATTGTGTCTAATAGATTTATAGATGATTCAACCCTTTCTGACCGACTTTCATCCTTTTCTCATGTAAGGTTACAAAGGGGGTCTATGAATTAATATACATTGCCATGCCTAGTTCTGTGGTATTTTTGTTGCACTTTTATAAATAATCATTCTGTGGGATTGTTTAATGTATAATTTTTTTATGTTCACATGTACTTTAGCAGAACATCAAAATTTATAGATGAATATAACATAGCAGTGAAATTGCACTACTTTGTTAAATATGGTTATATTGGTTATATTTTCTAGGTAGGGAAATTTATTTTCAAACCTCGCAGAAAAAGATTTTAGGATTTTCTTAACTAAGTCGTCATTTTTTTTGTTCGATGAGAATCAAATAAACACGTTATAATCTGGGCTTTCAAATAAAGATCTTAACACCTTTTAATATTTTAAAAGAAGATTTTGATGCGATCATTTTTATCAAATGTCTTAATTTTTTCAGTTATCAGAATTCTTTGCATTGAATGAATATAAATGATAATGGAGTTTCTTTCAGACAAATTTTGATATGTACATCTTTTTGTGCTCTAATTCTGTCCCTCCCCTTACACACAATTAAATCAAAGCTGAATCACGAAAGGATTATGACAATTAATGACGAGAAAGGCAGAAGATGGAGAGATTCTGATCAAATAGAGCTTTTGGCTCTGGTGAGCTTAATAAGGAATCAATGTCTAGGTAGTATAGTATGCCCCTGGCATAATATACTAACTAGACAGTGATTCCTTTTATTTCCATTTCTATTTTTTTCTCTGTCTTTGAAAGTTAGCGGAGTTGATTTCTTCATAATTCCACCGGAATGTAAATTATGCAGGTCTATAGGTCGGGAGCAAAGGAAGCCTGATATGAATGCAAATCTCGTGCGCATTTGTCTCTGTGTCTGACGTTAAGGAGGCCAAATATGCATGTAAATCTCGTGCGGCTGCCTTTGTGTTTGATGTCAGTGGGCGAGGACTATTGAAATTGGCATGAGAGTCCTCGTGTAATTTAAATATATGTCTACATTTTTAAAATCTAAATCTACAATTTTATTTCACAATGAAATGGAAATATAAGGAATTACTGTCTAGTTAGTATAGTATGCCAGGGACATCAACGATAGTGGGAAACTTACGTTTGAACTTCCGCCCGTTATGCAAATTATCCATGTTTCTCACTATTTTTGCACGTAGCATCGTTTTTGAAAGTGGGGGGGGGGGGGGGGCAGGCCGTTAAAATTTTTTTTTAATTACCTTAAAATGTTTACAACCAAAAAAAAAAAAAAAAAAAGGGAAATTAAAAGTTGCCCAAATCAAATCCTATTTCGTGGGGTGGGGGTGGGGGGTGGGGGGGTAGTGGCCAACTTTTTCAAAGCCAAGTTACTTTCACTTCCAATTTTTTCGAAACATTCCCTTCATATCACTATACTATGGTAAAAAGTGGGGGGGGGGGCAACCATCCTTTCAATGAACAATTACCATAGTAAAGGTAAAGTTGGGGACATCAAAGTGGGGGGGCCAGGCCCCCCTGCCCCCCCCCCTCTTGCTACGTCCCTGACTATCGTTGATGGAAATATAAATAGATAAGAATTTGTTTCCTAGGACCTTTTAATGATTTCTGGCGTGTAATTTTTAAAATGTTGCCCTTCACGTACGAGTATTTTTCTTTGTATATCATTGTCTTACTTAAATGGTAAAAAAATGTATTTAATTTTGAGTATCGCATGGTCCGCTCTCTCACACACAAATAAAATCGAGAGGTACCGTGAGCACTGAGCTCACTAGATAGTAACCCGTCTCCCATATGATTATAGTGGCAAAGTCCACGTTTTGCTCTGGAAGACCCAAAATAAGTGTCCGATCAAAAAGTAAAATAGGAGGTCACAATGGCATTATGTATAGCAAAGAATCTGTGAAAGCATGAAAATTTATTCATTTGATTAGGAGGTGTTGCGAATGATAGATGGGTGCCCTTCAATATTACATACGTGTATAATTGGAAAGAATGGCAGTGTCTTTGCTTTGCTATTGGAAACCCGAAATATGTGTCCGATCAAAAAGTAAAACTGGAGGCCACAATGGCACTATATTACAAAAATTCTGAGGAAGTCTCATTGAAATTTAATTAAGTGGTATAAGAGGAGTTGTGGATAAGAGATGGGTACCCCAAAGCGTAACAGACGGACGTGACAACAGACGGACGGACGAACGAACATCCTGATCACTATATACCCTCCCACCTTCCAAGCGGGGGATATAAAATTCCCATCGCATGGCTCTTTTCTCGTACACTTTTCGAGATTTTTGGGAGTTGAAGTATGTTCAATCTCCTATGGTCATCACGCATTTAACATGCGCAGTAATTTGTGTTGATTATATAGAGCCGAAAGCGAGGCTACTGTGTCGACCGATTTACTCCGATGATATTGAACAGAAAACATGCATAAACATCCGCCACAAATAGTTCATGTCATTTTCTCCTGAATTGGTATAATTTTTTCATAATTTGAAATGTAAGTAAATGTAATGATAAAGTAATCTTATTTTGAATATTAGATTTCCTTCAAAGTAATAACTAAATTATAAAGAACCTCAAAAGTTTTTCGTTATGGAACTCATTTTTAGTGTAGCGTCATACACTGAAAGAGATACGAATAACAACTCTACATACTGACGGCAAGCGGTAAATCTAGTATTCCCGACGCCCGACGGTCCCGGATTTTTAGCAATTTCTTTTGTGCCGGTGCACAGAATTTATTCAAACTTTTCATGAACATTTTCTTGGTTTAAATGAATTCATTAATGCATAAAAACTTTCAGGAAACATGCGTATTTATTACTAAATCAGCAGTGAATTATATAAATGATCAACCGCCTCTAATATGAATATAATGGCAGTGTCCATGTTTTGCAATGGGAAACCCAAAATATGTGCAGGATGAAAAAGTAATAGAAGGTGCACAACGGCAATATGTAATAAAGATTCTATGAAATTTTCGTTCAGTGGTGTAAGAGGAGTTGCGGATAAGAGATGGGTATACCTAAAGCGTAACAAACAGATGGACGGAAATCCCGATTAATAAATACCCTTCCGTTTTTCAAGCAGGGGGTATAAAAAAGGACTAATGTAGGCAAGCAAGCATTATGGTCCATGCATTTTTTTTTTTTTGCTATTCAATGTTTCTGAGATTGTTGCAACTCAAAAAATCTGAAACAGTTGTCTGTATTTGAAATAATAATATTGTTCACTCTCTTAATCTCCCGATCAAAGATTTTATTTTACACCATGTTCAACTCCCATGAGTGCTTTCAGTACTTTGATTTAAATATGTTTTGTAGGCTCCAAGCGCGATAACTCTAAGATTGCTACCTTAATCTAGTTTTAAGGACAGATGATACAAACAATTTTTTTCTTTGAAAAAGATTTAATATCATGTCACAAGTTTAGAAAAGTGGATGGTTCTTAGAATTTTATATCCGAAGAACTGGAAAATGAAATAGATTTGGAAAATATTAGTAAATTTCAATAAAAAAAACGAATATAGACAAATCACATTCCGTAAACGTTTACAGGTGAAAATATGTTATCTTGGCGTTAAAAGTGTAAGATAAACCTTAGAAAAGGTCACCAAGCCAGGTGAATTTTAAGAGGAACATCGAAATGACAAAAAAATGGCAATATCACATAGGCTGATTTTTTCCATTTAGCTTTTTTTCCTAATAAAATTCACCTGGCTCGGTATATTTTTCTTAAGTCACATTTCTAAACTTGTGACATGATATTAAATCTTTTTCAAAGAAAAAAATTGTTTGTATCATCTGTCCTTAAAAGAAAATTGACGTGATTGTCAAACATATGCTTTTAGTACAATATATTTAGCTAAAATGTCGGGTTGGTTGCAAAACTGTAATTAATTAAGTCAAAAAATTAATTATGCTTACGATATATAACAACGAGTGTGCCATGAGTGAAATCATTATTCCTTTGAAGCGTATTCTGGAAAATGTTTTTTTTTTTTTTACTCAATCCTTATCATCAATTCTTATCGAGTCACATCATCAATGAAGTTTGATTGATAATGTTTTATATTTGTACTATTGCAAAAAAAATTAAAACATTACGCATATAGAAGTGATACGTTCGTAGATTTGGTGGGAAGGTGGGGGTCATTGATTTTAGATGCTGTATACATGTACGGACAGATGACATGCGCGGATCTAGAGGGGGGGGGGGGTCGGGGGGGTCAGGACCCCCCCTGTAATTTACCAGGTTAAAGAATGTATATACTAAAACAAGAAAAAAGTTACCATGGACCCCCTGAAAACGCTATGGTAAACAAATATGTGTTAAATGGGTATGAAAGTGAAAGATTTGAGGCAATAGACACCACTTCCCCCGCCCCCCCCCCCCCCTCTCCCCCACGAAATAGGTTTTTGACGTTTAGGCGAGTTTATGTTTTTTTCTTATGTTTGGTCGTTAATGACATTAGTAATCAAATCATTATAGTCATTGAGAAGTCAACATTCATTTATTTGTTTAAAGAAAGAAGTAATTAGATATTGTTTCTTTTATTTCTTTATCAATGTTAGTGTTTTTTTTTATTCCTATACAATGCAATGGAATGTGACCCTCCAAATATTCTAGTTGCAGCGTTGTGGTTTTTATATCTTAGCCTATAAAACCATATAACACTACAGTTCTGCAGCTAGCTGAATGATAGCTAAAATTATCAACCGACTATCTTAAAAATAATGTAATCGAACAAAAAAAAAAAAGATAAATATATACACTGCACGTTAGATATTTATTATTAAGGACGAGAACTAATAAATATTTGCCCTAATACCAATAATTTCCTTGCTTTGTAAATTAACTAGAATATCGTGTATGTTACCAATCAATGCTGGAATCAAAGCGGTGTTTATATATTTTTTCATTAGTTCGACCAA